GTCGATCGCCGGATCGGCTTTCACCGTGGACGAAGCGGAGTCCAGCCCGGGGTCGTCACATGTGGTTGTCGCAAGCCCGCCGGCAGAACAGTTCAACCCAAATATTCAGACGTGTGCCGCGCATTTTATGGAGGATGAGGACTGTTTCCTGAACCAGTAGCCTACACTGCGTCTGTGGCACAAAGGCTGTTTCTATAAAGTTGGGCAGTTCCAACTTTGCAAGGACAGTCTGGCGCTTCTGACTCACAGCCTGTAAGTACATTTTTTATAATTAAATAATTTGCCACTGATGATTCAAACGCGAGTTTTGAGCAGTGTAGAATCATAAACATCTTAAAGACATTTTCTAAACGTCTATATGACATCTGATAGGAAACGTCCTATAGATGTATTGCAGATGAGCAAACACTCTAAAAAATACATCTTGCAGATATAAATTGAGATAGACGTCTGTACGTGATGTACGTGTGCTATCAGGGTTTACACTGCAAACCTACAAACCATAGTGTTTATGATTACAAAAATAAATTAAAATAATATGATTGCACATCAGTTTAAAACATCAAGCAGCATAATGGACTGTTTTTGTACTTTTACACGAACAGTTTTAGACACCGGAAGCTCACATTAAGGTTACAAATGTGGTTATCCCACAAAAAAAATATAGCGTTTTATTTGTAGTATTAGGTGCAAACAAAATATTTTTAATGTAGAACATTACTTACGCATTCCCCAGTATTTCTCGTTCTTTATTTCTCTTGTTGTTGTAGCTGTTGGCTGGCGTCTCTGGACAAGGCGGGAAGGTTTGATCCGAAGCGGCCGATGTTGTGGGGTTTCTTGCTCCCTCTAGCGGTCATGTTGTGTTTTAACACATCTCTGCTGGTCTACTTCTCTCAAACCATCTGCTGTGCGAATCCCAACCTCAAGAGGTACGTAACTGATCCGTGACCGAATGGTCCATGTTTAAAACAAAGTTCAAGGTTAATGTAAACTTAATTGATGCTGTTAATAACATTCCTTTACTACAATATAATCAGTTTTGGTTTGAAAATAGTGCAAATTCTTTCATGTGACCAGTATCTGAGCTGTAATTCTCAAGAGTGGCAACATTTGCAGTTCTGTAGGCCTAATAGTTAATATTTTCTGTATTATTTTAATGTTCATTCTGGTTCTTTAGCTCACGAGGGACTCCTATGAAGAAGAAGATTTTGAGTAGTTTCTCTCTGGCTGTGGTGCTCGGTTTGTCCTGGATCGTTGGTTACTTTGTGCTCATCACTCATGACAAAACACTTTACATCATTCTCAGTGTGGTCTTCTGTCTCTGCAACACGACACAGGTGCGTTAATACACTATACTACTTATTATTATTTTTGATAAACTGACACTAGGACGGTATTTCATGTTCAGAAAAGATTTTTGTTAGATTTATTCAAGCTGATGTTTTAAGATATTATGTATATCTCTGTCTTGCATTGATTGGTGACTGACCACTACATTTTCTGTCCTTCAAAGGGTGTTCAGATTTTCATTTTATTCACACTGCAGTCTGTTCTAAGGGCAAGGACTCGATATAAACTGGATTCTAAGACTGAATCAAAGGGGGAGCTTTAAAAATAATGGACACAAAAAGAGGACAATATCATATACAACTCTTTTATTATTATATTTATTTTAATTTAAACTACTGTAATTTTTTGGTGATAGAAAACCATTTGTCTGGTGACATTTATTTTAATTCAATTTAATATCAAATGCATAGTCTCATACTGTACAAGTAAAGTTGTTGATTTTACAATGCAGACAGTCCTTTAACCATTACTTTAGTCTTTCATTTTTATTGGACTTGCTTCAGAACAAATTATGGATTTAAATGTACTTTGTAGTCATAAAAACATGATCTGGAAATGTATGTGGTTTGTTTGTTTTATTTATTCTTTATGGCTCTCAAGGTTCAGCAAATGTGAAACAACACATACTGTAACTATAGTTTAAAGTAATGTTTGTTATATATTAACACATTGTCATGGGTAGGTTCCACAACAGGCAAGTTGAAGATCCAATCTAATCTAAGATCTAACAGTATTTTTTAAAAGAAAACTAAAGTCTGCCACAATAAAGTCACAGGCGAACAACACAGGAGTAACAGGACAACCCCAACAATGACGTCAGCGCCACTGATTAATTGATTTATTAATAAAAAAAAATAAAAAAAAAACATCAATCAATCAATAAATAGATAAATAAATAAATAATAGGTTTGCGTTTTAATCATTGATTAATAGGTTTGCGCTGATTAATCATTGTTTAACACACATTAATCACAGCACATTAAATATGTTTATCAACATCAACAAGCCTCCGACAAAAATACCAGCATTACCTACCTAACACTAAAAAGTGCATACTGCTAAAAGTGCATACTACTCGTGGAGCGTTGTTAAAGTCACCGCTGAACCCTGTTTCACAGACGGCACTTTGATATCAGACAGCCAGTGATTTTTAAAATAAAAAAATCAGTTGGAGAGCTAGGTAAATATGACCTGGGGGGCGCCAATTGACTCGCCCTGCCATAAATAATTTATTGTAGCCTATTCTTTTTTATTACTATTTCTCGTAATCGCTGCGGTATGCTTCCTTAACACGTCAAATTTCAACGCAGCGGGCTCCGGTCAGAAGTCTGTGGGATTCCCTGCACGTTGAAAAATGAGGCCAAAGGGGTACCCAGTGCGTTAAAAAATGATGCCAAGGGATCCTGACCAAGTGTCCATATGTGACGAGTTGGGAGTGAGAACGTGTTGACCCCAAACATTGACAAGATGCTTAACAAGCCAGGTGTATAAAGTACCTGGACAGTAAAAAGGACAGTTCACCCAAAAATGAAAAACCTGTATCAGTACATCAGCACAACAATCATGTTGATGACCAAACAGTTGCTGGTATAGCCACTGAATTACATAGTGTTTTTTTTTCTTCCATATGGAAGGCAATGGCTACCAGCAACTGTTTGGTTATCAACATTCACCAAAATATCTTCTTTTGTGTTCAACAGAAGAAAGAAACCGACAAAAGCAGGAATAACGAATCCTAAACTCTAAAACAAAGAGCCATTTCAGCATAAAAAGGTTATTCAGGATGATACGGTAAATAAAAACTGTTACTGCATATAAAGAAACATTTTTTTAGAGTGTAGTGAACCAGGAACAAGGAACTCAGAACAAGATGAAAATTATCTCAAGATAAAAGACCATGAACACAGATGACTGCTGTAAATCTTGAATTGCAGCTGTAAACTAAACATCATAAAAAAAAAACATCCAAGATATGCAGGGGTTGGACAAAATAATGTGAACACATGGGAAATAAGCAGTAGTTTATTATTAAGGTGTTTTACCACTTTTTACCGCATTTGCCTTTAGTACAGATTTCAACCTTCTTAATTAATTAATAGATTAATACAACTTCTGAATAGTTTCCACTTGAATGTTGTCTATACAATAAAAGCATCTGCCAGTTGCTTTAGCAAAATTCTCTGTAAAACTGTCCTCAGTGGTTTGATAATATTAAAGCTAGGTGATTTGTCTGGCCAGGGCAGATGTTGAGTTTCATCTTGGTGCTCCAATTGTCCAGGTTTTATGATCACGACACCTTTTCTGCATTTTAGCACTGTGATTCAAGTTTTAGCAGTTGCAGATCTTATATGGATGTTGTCTTTGTTAGGTTCTCTGTGGTCAGTTTTTGTGGAAGCATTATCTTTAAGGCGGATATTGAGGTTTTTCTGTCACTTTACTGCAGTAGTTCTTTGTTGGTTGGACTTACTCCTTCTTAGTGTTCAGTGGTCCCTTTCATTCACTTTCAGTTTTTAGACACTTTTCTTTTCTGCAGATGAAGTCTTGTCATGCTTTGTCATAATGTTCTTAAAACACCAAACAATTGGACTGTTAAGGTTACAGGTAAAAAAAAAAAAAAAAAAAATTATAAAAATGCAACGTTTTTAAAGTGCTCTATTTTCGCACACTAATTTTGTACTTAATATACTAAAATTATTCTTTAGTACTTCTTAAGATAATCTTAAGAACATCTAAGTGTACTCAACTGAGCAAAATTCTCTGTAAAACTGTCCTCAGTGGTTTGATAATATTAAAGCTAGGTGATTTGTCTGGCCAGGGCAGATGTTGAGTTTCATCTTGGTGCTCCAATTGTCCAGGTTTTATGATCACGACACCTTTTCTGCATTTTAGCACTGTGATTCAAGTTTTAGCAGTTGCAGATCTTATATGGATGTTGTCTTTGTTAGGTTCTCTGTGGTCAGTTTTTGTGGAAGCATTATCTTTAAGGCGGATATTGAGGTTTTTCTGTCACTTTACTGCAGTAGTTCTTTGTTGGTTGGACTTACTCCTTCTTAGTGTTCAGTGGTCCCTTTCATTCACTTTCAGTTTTTAGACACTTTTCTTTTCTGCAGATGAAGTCTTGTCATGCTTTGTCATAATGTTCTTAAAACACCAAACAATTGGACTGTTAAGGTTACAGGTAAAAAAAAAAAAAAAATATATATATATAATAGCAACGTTTTATTTCACTGTATCCTGCAAAATTGTATTAATCCCATTACAATGGGTGTCACATTATTTTTTCTAGCCTCTGTATGTGCTGTGTGAATAACACAGAGTAATATGCAATATACTATTATTGTGCAGTGCTGTTATCTTTTTAGTTTCTCATTAACATTAGTTTGATTGTAAATGGATGGCTGTTTTCTGATGTACTGATGGACGTCCCACTCTAGCAATGATCCAGCCCTGCCTCTGCTTTATAAACCAGACAGGAACAAGAGTTAGTTTTATAAATGTCATATCCAATACGTGTGAAATGGACTGCTCTCTGCTGCTCTTAATCTTTACCTCAGGTAAGGTGTAAAATTTTGGTGTAGGATTCATTTTGATTTTGTGATCATTTTGATTATTTTTCACTCAGAAACCGCTAGTAACTTTCTCAAATAGTTACAAAGAAACTGAAATAAACTTGGAGTAGAAGTAGAAAATGGTATTTTCTTAAAAAATGCTTTCCAAGAATAAAGCAACATGTGAATAAAGTTTGAGTATATTAATGATAATTAATAATCAGGTTATTTTAAACAATAATTTGTCATTATTATTATGTAAAAATGGTCAGGTTATTGTTTACTACTACGCACAACAGTACCACAAGATTCTTCCTGTGTTTTGTTTCTCTCTTTACCATACCATTGCATTTACTAACTGCCATATAAACATAATATGGAAAAAAAAACTTTTTTAAAAAAATCTTTGTAAAATATCAATAAACATTTATTTAACCATACGTAAGTTTCTTACTGAAGGTAGTTTTTGATCTCAGTTTTTAGTGGTTATTGAAAATGAGACAAATTTGCTATTATTTTAATCTTCAATATGTCATTTAACAGTTGAGATATTTCTTTAATGCTTTTTAAACTAGCAGAAGTCATAAACTGGGTTTAAGTACCAGCACAATGAAGAATGTCATTATTGTATATTAAAAAGTTAATTATTGTACTGACAAAACATTTGAGGTGTTTTTTTTTTGTTTGTTTGTTTTGGATTAGATCAAATAGCATTTTAAGCTGTTATATGGGCCTCGTACAACACAATGTCATATTTTCTTTCCATTCTTTATGGGAAAAAGTATATACTGTATTCATGAAATAAAACCACATATTTGTACTATACGTGTGAAATTAATGTGGAAAAAAGAAATACTCTGAACACAGAAGTGGATTTACACAAACTGAGAAAGTCAAAAAGTAATAAATAATATGTTCAATTTATATAGCACCTTTCCCAAGCTCAAGGACTCTCTACAAGGTACACCAAAGCAGCAAATATTGATTACAAAGAAACAATTTCATTGGACATTTGCCCAATTCAGTTACAAATAATGCAGTTGCATATAACACAGATTATGTAGTAAAGACAGAAATAGAAAACAAAACAGACAAATACACAATGTAAATTAGTGATAGTGTTGATTAAGCAAATACGTTTTAAGCTTTGATTTGAATTCACTGAAAGAGGTGACTGGAATTCACTTCCCCTGGCACTCAGAACAAAGTTTGGGTGCAGTAACAGAGAAGGACCTGCCGCCCATTGAAGATAGGTGGAACCTAGGTACACAAAGAAGTTCAGAATTAGAAGACCGGAGTGCGCGAGAAGGTATATAAGAAGAAAGAAGGTCGGAAAGATAGGAGGGAGCAAGACCATTGAGTGCCTTAAAGGTGAGCAGAAGAATTTTGTATTGCACACGAATAGATACAGGCAATCAGTGAAGATTAAATAGAATAGGGGTTATGTGAGCAGATTTTTTTGTGGAAGTTAATAATCGGGCAGCAGAATTTTGAATGTACTGCAGACGAACGATGGAGTGAGCTGGTAAGCCAGAGAAAAGAGCGTTACAATAGTCAAGGCGAGTGGTAATAAATGCATGCACTAATGATTCTGCATCTTTTCTACTAAGGAAAGGAAGAAGTTGCGCAATTCGACGTAGTTGAAAAAAAGCAGTTTTGGAGAGTTTGCTAATGTGGTCATCCAAGGTCAGTGATGGGTCTAGAATGATACCTAAGTTTCTAACAGTAGCCGATGGAAAAATAGAAATAGCGTCAAGGTCAAAGCTAGAAACATCAATTTTATTTTTTATTAGAGATGGGGGACCAATTATTAAAATTTCTGTTTTACTCAAGTTCAGACTAAGAAAATTTGAATGTAGCCAATCCTTTAACTCACTGACACATGAAGATAAGGATGCCATCGAATGGGTAGAATCTGGTTGACAAGCAGTATATCTGGATGTCATCGGCATAACAGTGGTAGTAAAACCATGACGACGAATTATTTGGCCAAGAGGCTGAATGTAGAGGATGAATAATAATGGTCCGAGAACTGAGCCCTGGGGAACACACCCTGTTTGAGCAAAACAGTGGGAGATTTGGAATTGTGCAGTGAGAAGAAGTATTGCCTATCTGTGAGATATGAGGAGAACCAGGATAATGCAGAACCTGAGATGCCAACCTCTGCAAGGCGAGATAATAATATCTTATGATAAACAGTATCAAAAGCTGAGCTGAGGTCAAGTAATAAAAGAATTGATAAACTGCCTGAATCTCCAGAAAGTAATAGATCTTTGACAACCTTTACTAGAGAAATTTCCTTACTGAGCCGTGAGCGAAAACCAGACTGAAAAATATCAAAGAGATTGTTGCGAGCTAGAAATGACTGCAGCTGAGAGGCAACAGTCTTTTCCATGATTTTAGATATCACAGTAGACGATGGCTGATGAATACTGAAAGTCCTTCTAGACGAGCGATGTAAATAACGCGGGCGACGAATGATAGCAAGTGTACAGCAGTGTTCGTACGTCGCGGAGTCGAGATGCAGGTGCCCATTTAGAGCCTTTAGCTCACAGGGCGTATATCCAATTTCCATGTTGGGGTTAGATCCAATAGTGACCAAAAAAAGAATAATGAGCCTTTGAGCTATTGACGTGTTGGCAATTGCCATAGGAACGCCAGCCATCAGCAAAACCACTTTAGCCAGAACCACAATCATCGCAGCATCTACAAAAGTTCACTGAGAGGAAGGCTACCCGACCAGACAGTAAGCCAGTAGACCAACTGACAAGAAGAGTGTTAACTTACCTGACAGTCAGTCCAATAGATGGAGGATCGAAGAGGTAGATGGCTCGCCAAAAAGTTCCTGGCGGCAACAAAACATGCCACGTTGAAGCAAGGTAGTAAAAAACAGAACACAGAGTAGTATCCAAGAAACCAGAGGGATTCACAGCAGATCCAACAATAGTCCGAACAGTAATCCAGTAGTCCAAAACGAAAGTAGTAGTCCAAGACGGTAGTCCAAAAACGAAAAAGAACCAGACAAAACGCAAACACAGACAAAACAAACAAACAGCCCAACGTGGAGCGGCAGCCAGCCGCGCACAGCGTACCCACAACCGGAAGTGTGCACCTGCCATTTTTCTTTTGCCAAAAAGTGTTGTGCTCTGCTCTCCACTACTAATTTGACTACATAATGCACAATACTAAACAATATAAACAAATAAAAACAAATTGCACAAAGGAGACTGTGCAATATATGTGTGTATACAGTGCAAATATGTAAATATGCACAGTTACTATCTAGAATGTATATGTTTAGTATGAATGAAATTTAGACCGCTCTCTCCCGCGGCCTCATGATGGATAGTAAAGTGTCCATCGAATGCACACTTCAGAATCCCAGTGGAAGTTATAGATCATCCGAGTACTTTTTGCCTACTGTTTTTTTTTTTTTTTTTTTTTACTATGAATTTGGGCATACTACTCTTTAGGCATACTTTTTTTTTTTGCATTCAATATTGTAGGGGAGTATTCGATTTCAGACACAGTCATACACCCGGCGCAATGCAATTGTTTTTTGCTAGTTTCAGCCCGACACAGTTGCCATTTTCACGTCCTGCGCCACATTGTTTAAATAGCAAATGCATTTTTCAAATGCATACGTCAACCTATGACCTCCGGGGTAAGACATATGATGTTTGTACTGATGTTTGTACATGACCAAGGAAGACAGGAGATAAATGAAGTCCTGAGGAATGTTTTTGTGCTTTTATGGTCCGTTCCCACATCCGGGGTTTTTCCCCATCTGGGGTCCGCATGCTCAGGTGTCCGGTTGCTCAGGTGTCCGGTTGCTGTCTGTTATGCTCTCCCTCTCTCTCTCTCTATGGGAGATGTGAGAAAGATATTGGTTTTAAGGTCAATAAAAGAATAAGTAGACAATTCTAACAGATCATGAGAACATATCACAATATGTGTGCACACACATATAATATGTTGGTTGTATAAAATAATTTAAATAAAATATATGATATGACCAATAATGAAATTGGGGATAAAACAATAAATAAAGAAATAAAATTCCTCTTACATTTTTCCATGTATGCCCAAAACACACCCATTACTCATTAAGAGAATAGGGACAATCCTTTTAGACCATGCGCCGGGCGCACCGACCATTTTTCCCATCCTTAAACTAGCAAAAGGAGATTCAGACACGCCCTAAGCACAATTGCGCCGTGAGCTTTAGACCATGCACTTAGATTGCTAAAATAAGGCCCTGACTCTTCCTGTCTAAATCACCTTTCTATCCACTATCTCTGACATTTGCATAGGATTGTTGCATTTTGCCCCCTAGAGGCAGTTACACAGAACTTTCAAATTACTCTACAAACATTCGTGCTATGCCGCAACCTGGTCTGGTTTAACCTTCTGATGCTGTGTTGTAATTTTTGACTGGAAAATGTTTTGGTTTTTTTTTTAGATTTTTTTTTACTTCTTCGGAATGGTACGAAACTTGGTAAAGGTTTTGGCACCTGCTATGTGATCAAACAAACAAAAAAACCCTTCAAAAAACATGGACATGATTCAAAAAGGTAAATGGTCCTGAAACAAAAGTCACACTTGTACTTGTTCGCAGTCAAAAATGAGCATATTGGAAATTAATGAGAAGCAAATTTCATCTAATGGAAATGTTTGGTGCAGCACCTAAACAAAATCTCTCTTTCCCCCCCCCCCTTTTTTTTGAGATATCAACCTCAAATTTGGAACACAGCTTAAGTTGGAAACACAACTAAAGTTTAAGTTGGAAATTTCATTTTCAGGTCTATGCTCTAAAAGTGGTTAACAGGTAATACATAGATCATAACTATTCCATAAATATAATATAGTGCCATAAAATCCCCTAAAAATACAAAACAAAAAAACAAAAAAACAATATCAAACTAAAATATAGTACATTCATTTAATTGAAATAAAACAGTTCGGTCACTTTTGACTACCATGCGAACAGCACCAGAGTGTTAAACTATAAAAGAGTACTCAGCTGAGAGATAAGCTGATATATGTGTGTTAAAAAGTAAATAAATAACACAGCGCATGAGAACAGTTCCAGTCTCTTTTTATTGGAGCTGCATCAGATAAGGCAAATGATTCATGTGCCTAAGAAGTCTCCTTAGCTGTTATAAATTCACTGTAAACATCTTGGGGCTTATTGCTTTATTAAAATCACTCACTGATGAAAAATGGCAAAATCACTCACTGATGAAAAATGGCAAAAACATCATTCAAATTTGAAAAATAATTAGTTTTCTTGTCCCTAATAATGAATATTATGCAAAGGAAGCTCTTTTAGTATGATCTGCATCCGTATTTAACTGCTCATTCCATCATATAATCAACAATAACTATCAACCTATGAAACAAACTCACTGAGACTAATGACACTTTCTTTTCCATGCATTATTTTATTATATCCATTATGTGTTTACAGACAAAACATATAAAACAGTGAAATTGTGCCATATATTCTCTGACTTGTTTTGCAGGCACTTCAGACAGTGACATGAGCTCCTCTGACAGAACCTTCACTCTTATTGGTTGTTGCTCTCAAAAGTTGCTCAGCATTTGCAAAAAGTTAATCATATGTCGCCTACATCCTGTCGCCAATTACTGTTGCTCATAACGATAGAAATCGCCAGCTCTCCACTGAAATTAATCAATGGATCATGTCGCTGCATGTTGTTGGCGGTGTGAACGGGGCTTTAGTCAGACTGGGTTTTTCTGTCTAAGCAGTCAGTTCTTGGCTGAAATATAAGTTGGCAAGCTGGCCCAGATTTAGCGAGACTAAAGGTCGGTTTGATACTTTTGTCTGATGTTTTGTCTCTGTAAACAGCTGTTTTTGAGAAGACTTGGTGTCTAAATACTTCAGAGAGCACCACCGACACATCCAACTACAGCACCAGTACAACATTCAGCACCCTGTACACAACAGTGACTGTGCCGAGTCTGGTGTGTGAAAACAAGGGTATCTTACAAGACGGGATCTGCATCTGCCCAGATGATTGGACTGGAACTACCTGCAACATTCGTAAAACCCATTGAAAATATTGCATGATATGCAGACTGAATAATCTTGTAAAAGGTTTTGAGGTTACTAACAGTCTTGTTTTTTTTTTACAGAAAATTTCTGCCCTGAACAAAAACCCACACCAACTAGCAAATTCACCTTTCCAAAAACTGTCCTAGGCCAGTTTGCTTCCTCCGTAGAGAGATGTCCACCAGAAACAACAAATGGTACGTGTCTCTCTACTAACTTCCTTTTTTATCACAGTATGCAATAATATATATATATATATATAATTTTTTTTATCAATTTTTTTCAGCTGGCATGCACCAGGCATCAGCCCTCTGTAATATAACTACTCACTTATTTGATCCTCCAAACATTCTCAATTGTAGTTTGACCCTGGATGCCATTAATGCATGGGTATGTAATCTATGCCTAATGATTGTAATATATAGTCATTCAGCCTGATTTTTTCATAACTTATTTTATTTTATTTTTTTTTTTTTAAATCAAGGTTTCTGGAGCTACTCCTGAACAAAAACTGAACTTAGCCTCCAGCACCCAGATCC